CTGCTGAATCTGCAAAGAGTAAATCATAAAAGCAGCTCCCTTGCCTCCGGGGGTGATTGAGAGTGAGCTTATAGAAAGCAAACCTCTAAAAAAAAAATGACAATAGTTGCGGTGTGGTTAGACTATAATTACAGTAGCTATTATAATGGCAACATGTGGGGTTGGTTTTTTTTTTTAGAGGTGGCTGTGGTGTTCCTCTTTTTTTTGGAGGTTCACCTACCCAAGACAAGCTTGGGCCACATAAGATACAAATTATTTCCTGTTGTCTGTGTGAAGGAGGAGGACTGATTTTACTGCAGGCTGGCTGGGCAGGACTGCAGATTTGTTCTGGAGCACTTCTGAATCTGTTGTTCTTTGACAAAGGATTTTTCTGGGCCATAAGCCTGCCCAAAGGCAAGGGAGATCTGCGGGTATCTAAGATTAGGAGCTTGTGTATATTTTCGCACATATTGAGCATGCATGTGTCTTTTCTGCAGGATCTGAAGATGGTGATGCGCATTCAGGTGAAAAGCAATGAGGAAAGCCAGGCTCCTGGATTGTCACTGTCTGATCTGAAACAACCCTCTGCAGCAGAAAAACCTCAGGTGCCAGACAGCCGCCACTCTACAGGGAGCAAACAGGTGCAAATGCAAAGGTTGGTGAAACAAAACTCCCTTCTGCTCTCAACGTTCAGGCTCAAAGGTACCACACAGGCCAGTCCCTGGTTTCTACTTGAAAGACGGTTGAAGAAAGTGAATTCCCTGCAACTTGGGGCTGCTCATGTCGGAATGCCATGAACCTACCCGTTTCATGCCGGTAACAGAATGGATAATTCCTACAGTATGTCACTTGTGTTGCTGTAGTACCTGGGACCAGGATCCTGTTGTACTGGATGCTGTACAGGCACAGGAGAAGCTGTTTGCTATCTCAGCAGCACTCACAGAAGACCGGTCTGTTTTGCAAAAAGAAGAAAACTTCTTTCGGAGGCTGCAATTTATCAAAGTCTGGCCATAATCCAAAAACTGACTCTGAAAATAGTGCTTCCTCATTTAACTTATTTATCCTCTGTGTGTGTCCAGGTCATATCTGCTCAGTTTACTGGAGCAAACAGGATTTAATTTGTTTTATCTGTAGAGGAGACTTCTGGATTTCATTCTAAATTCAGCCTGATCCTACCCGTTCGTCTCCGCCCTTTTTGTTTGTTCACTTAATCTGTAATCTTCCCAGGTCAGAGATTGTGCTTTGCGTATTTCTTTGAAGGGCAATGTCATCCCCACACCGCTTTAGATAACATCTGCATGGATGCACAGAGGATATTCTGCCTCTTTACAGGAAGGGACCTGTGTGGGTGTAACTGAAGGTGAGGGGTGAAGCTGTGATGGCGGAATGGCCTTTCCTCAGCTATGTACAGCCTAGAGAGGATACTGTCACTGCTCTGTGAAACAGAAAATGCAAATATTGGATTTGTTTGGCAAATGGTTTCTGCAAGGACAGAGATCATGGTATGTTTGGTGTGCTGTGCTTTTCCTGAATCTATCATCAAGAAATGACTGGGCAGCTGGAGGCTGTTATTTACACAGTGAGATTTGTGATAAGGAGTGTATAAACCAACTTTCTCCGGAAGGTGTCAATGCCAAGAACAACATCAAACTGCAGCAGAGTACAAAAGAGGCCATGCATCCAATGCCAAGAACTGTTGCGTTGGGTGGCTGAGACCAGCAGATTCCAGATGAGCTCTTGATGGCCAATTTGCATTTTGATGGTTTTATAATGGGGAAATCTGAGCTGAAGGCTGGGTTATGATTTTTCCTACTGAAAGTTTTGTGTGGTGGTGGTATGCTGGCTTTAAAAAGCTGCTAAAGCTAAGGCCACTTGTCCTTTCTCAGCAGTTAAAACCTTGAATGTCTTAAGTAGGCTTTTAAATCTCAGCTGGCTCACATAGCAGTAATCCTGCTTGAAACTGGTGGCAACTTACTCAGGTTAAACGTTTTTGTTTCGGTCACTTCTGAGAGTCCCTATTATCGGGATTTCATCCCTTCCTTTACCCTTCTTTGTTTCCGAAGGTGTCAAATTTGGATATTTGGGAAGAAAACATTCCTTGTGAGACAGCCGTGCCTTCTGGCTTTTCAGGGGTTCACTCTAATACGAAGATACTCTATTTCTTCTCTGACCTCCAGTTCATTTCCATGCAGTGGAACAGAGTTACGCTACTAAGTACTCTGCTGCTGAGCCTCTGCTTGGGTATCCACGTGAGCCGTGCTATTGCTGCAGGCAGAGAAGCATTAATGAAAAATGTGTTGCATTTGGCAACACGTTTTGATACCAACCTTGGCAACACCACTTGATATCAACCTGGATATCAAGTACTTGTCCCTCTGAGGCACTTCTGTTAAGAAGGAAGCAGACATAAATATTGATGTAGACATTAGAAGTGTATTTGAGGTGCAACCATTAACAGAGGAAGGAATCCCTGACGATGGCTGCCTGAAAGGGGTTGCCTGAACTCTCACAGATAGAGCTGTGTATGCATAATTGATTTTTTCACATCAGTAGATGGATGAAAACTTTTGGGGGGTGGTGGTAGGAAAAGCAGTAAATCATATTGGAACGTGGCTTCCTCATTGAGTGAGGGAATGAAACACTTTTTCCCATGTTCACCTAAAAAAGAATCAAAGCAGTATGTGAATGTTTCCTTTCAGCTAGTTCTGTTTTCACTGTTTGGGTTTGTACAGGGGACAGATGCATGCTGTGGAAGAGTTTTATAAACAGATGCTGGTTAAAGTATCCATCTCAGTTGCAAAGTTTTGTAAAGAGCTTGTAGCTTACAAAAAAAAAAATTGACAACAGAAACTGTCAATTTTGTATTATATATATAGAGGCCAAAATTCTACAGTTTTAGTAGCATCTTCATTCTTAAAATAAAGAGGACTTGAGTTTTTGGTATTTTTTTCAAAAACTTAGTTTTGTGTATTTGGGTATGTGTGAGGCAAGAGTAAGTATCTATTTAGACCTGGAGTTTGCTGTATGGATATGTTATTGTATCATATGAATAATATCAAAGCAGTTCTACAATAAATTGTGTTGATAAAGCATAACTTATTTTGTACTTACATGGCATATTAAATGTCCTATTTCAAGCAGATATCACAGTAACTAATGCAATCTGCTAGTTTTGCCAAAAAGTTAAATTAGGACAAACTTCTGCATGTGTTGGAGGCTTTTCCTCTGTTTGCTGTTATGAAATGGCATTATGAAATGTCTCTTGATATACTGAGGCAGGGGCTTCTTTTTTGTTTCGTACCCTTGTTGCAGCTGGAAAGACATAGTGGACAAAGTGAACGCCCGGATGGATGAAGAACAAGTGCCCAGTTACCCGAAGAGCCTTCATTTTGATGCCAAGCCTGCGCAAGAGATGCAGAAAGGCAGCCCACAGCCACCCAGTCCGAAGAGTGGGGAAGAGCATCAAAGAGCTCATCAGGAAGGCAAGAAGGACAGGACAGATGATGAGGAACTCGAAATGGGTATGGTTTCCCAATCCTGTGCTGTACCATACCAATTTATTGCTAATCAAGGTGGGGAGCGAGAAAAGCTTTCTGCTTGTGTTAAAGGAAAACCTGAAAACTCCTGAAAAATTCTTGTGCTTTTATTGTCCTTGGTCAAATGAAAAGCCTGGACAGTTTTTCCATTTTTGTTCCCTGTTGTCCTGCATCCTCACACATTCCCAAGGTCGCGGACTCAAAATCTGTGCAAGTTAAGTCAATTCTTCTTTCTTTCCTATGGGAGTGATGGGGGAAAATGTCACTGTTTTTTGCAAGACTTGCTCTCAGTCTCCCATAGGAATTGATCTAATTTTTTTAGAAGTGGGTTTTTTAACTTACTCAGGGCAGAAAATTTCCCAATTGTCCTTAAGAGGCTAAAAGCAAATAAATTCAAGGGCAGCTAGCTGTATTTGTCAGTCAGCCAACAAAGCATCTACAGCTATTTTAAAGTCTAGTAAGGAACTGCATTTGGACGATTGAGGGCCAGCTCTTAGACCAGCGTGCAGGAATTCCTCAGTCTTCTGATCCGGATCTGTTCAGACCCCCGTGCATTGACTCACTTGGCTAGTAACAGGCTGGGAGACACGTGTGATTTGGTGTAAAGTTCATCGTCACACCATGAAACCAACTAATGAATAATCCATTAGGTTATGCATGTGAGGGCAGAATCTTTGCCTCATTTTCCAGGTGAGGTTTATCAACTGGCCTGTAATGGTAGTCACATGTGAGTGGTAAAATGAGGGAACAATTAAATAACTATCTGTGGTGTGTGGAACAACAGAGACAGCTGTAAAATGACTGGCCTTTCAGAAAATGACAGTGACTGGGTGGGGGCTTGGACTCCTTCCACAGGTCCAGTAACAAAGGGAAGGTTGGCTTAATTGCACCTGTATGTCTACGAGTGTAAGAGGGAAGCTACAAACTTCCTTTGGAAGCAAATAAAGAAGAAATAAAAAATGTATTACAGTAGGCCAGTCAGGCAGTGGAGAGCTAAAATGGGCTTTGGAGCAGAGGTGTCCAGTCTGAGAATCTGTGCAGAGATGCTCTGCTGTGTTCAAGGGGCCAGGATGTACAGCGTGAACACTTTGTTTGCAGCAAAGAAATCTGTTTATCACCCATTTCTCTTGCACATGTGGAAATAACCTGTGAGATCTGGAAGTTAGCTACTTACCTTTGTCGAAAAGAGACGCTGAAACGTAGATATGACTAATGCTAATTCTGTGTGTCGCTAGACTGAGGTAGAATGACTAAGTAGGTGGTTTTTCATGCAGCTAATTTTTTTTCTGCGGTCTTGAATGCAGTAATGCAGGGAAGCTGGGAGCTGAGACCCCTGTGAGGATCTCATTTGAAATGCTGACCTGCATCCTATTAAACATTATAAAGGTGGTCTCAGCCTGCTTTCTTGACAGTAGATTTTGGCTCTGGATTTGGAACAGAGGAGGGATGTCATGGGGCAGAGAAGAAGGTCAGTGGTTCTAACCAAGTCGTGGATGGTGATTTCCTCCTAGGCTGTTGCTCAGTTCACTGTGCAGGTGAAGTCCTCCCTTCCAGGACAGCAGCAATTAGTAACAGCTAACGTGTATGCAGATGCCCGTTTGGAGAGGAGGTTTGGTATTCCTGCGCTTTCCCACAGCTATGTTTAGCTGCTATTTCACATTTTGCTGACCTGATTTTCATCAAGTCCCCTTAGAGGAACTGAACTAAGTGGTTCACATCAAAGTGAATAATTCCACTCTGAAAAGGCCTCTTGGCAGGTATAATGAAGTGTGAGGACCAATAGCCCTTGACCTCTGTGTCCTATTTGGAATTAACAACCAAAGTAATGACTTGACTGCCCTGGCTGTGCTGCTGTCCGGTTGGGAACGCTGCCGTCTCGCAGGCTCTTTTAATGTTTTGGGGAGAGGCACTCAGCCCTTGGTGATGGCAGGCAGGGTGGCGAGTGCCAGAGCCGAGATGCTCAGAGCCATACCCAATTCAGGGTGAGGGTTAGGCCTTTACTTAGTTGAAAGCAAAGGCTGTATTTTTCTCTCAGGACAGAAGAGTGCTAATGAATGCCCCTGCACCTGACACTGCAAGCCTGCCTCTTGTTGTGGTGTTGCCTTGTCAGCAGCTGCGTGCCAGGAAGGGGCGGGTGGCACCGACATGCTGACCTGCTGGGGTCTAGTTCTGCTCCCAGCGATGGTCTCGCTGGCTGGATTGCTGCTATAGGTACTGCCCAGACTCAGCAGCAGCGTCAGAGAAAGGTGCATCTTAATATAGATTAGGGGCTGAATTCAGAGCTGGTTTTTTGTCTTTGTATCGTATGCTTGCCCCCACCGAGCAGCTCAGCACCGCGCAGCCGCTCGCTTACTGCCCCTGCCCCGGTGGGATGGGGGAGAGAATCGGAGGAGTGAGAAACACTCCTGGGTTGAGATAGGAACAGTTGAATAATTGGAATATTTTAAAGTAAAATAGTAATAGTAATAACAATATAATAGTAATAATACTATACAAAGCAAGTGATGCACAATGCAGTTGCTCACCACCCGCCGACCAATACCCAGCCAGTTCCCAGCAGCGATCGCTGCTCCCCGGCCAACCCCCCCAGTTTCTATACTGCCCATGACGCCATATGGTATGGAATAGCCCTTGGGCCAGTTTGGGTCAACTATTCTGGCTGTGCCCCCTCCCAGTTTCTTGTGCCCCTGGCAGAGCAGGGGAAGCTGAAAACCCCTTGACTAGCATAAGCAGTACTGAGCAACAGCTAAAACATCGGTGTGTTATCAGCATTATTTTCATACTAAATCCCAAACAGAGCACTATGCCAGCTACTAGGAAGAAAATGAACTCTACCCCAGCTGAAACCAGGACAATGCTATTCAGTAAGTTAGGGGCGTGCTTCAACACATGCTTATGCCCCAGCCTTGGGGCCAAGGAAGCAGTTTTGGCAGCTGTAGGAGCATAGTGCTGCTGTGCCCTGAACTCCTGCAAATGGCATCAAAGAAGCATTCCTCCAAAACCATACGCAGAGCATTGTCTGCCCCAACCTGCAGGCGGGTCAAGACAAATCCCTGCTTGGCATAGAGTTAATACAGCTGCTCCCCAACAATGGGAATTTTCACTGGTGACACTGACTTTTGAGAGAGAACACTGGTAACTGTCCCTTTTCCGTGCAGATGCAGGAGTGATTGAGAGAGAGGAGAACTCGCACTCTCAGAAGGAGACTGTCGTCCAGGAGCCAATGGTAAGTAATGCTGTCATCCGGATGCAACCCTAGCTCCGAATATCAGCTGTCCCACTTAAGTTGGTGCTTTCCCAGAAGTAACACAATGCAACATGATAATAACGACACGCAACTCCAAACTCCTTGGTTCTGGAGGGATTCAGGGGGATAACGAAGACCGGGGCTTTTGTTTTTCAAACTGTTAACATGCTTGGAGAGAGGTGCGACCGAAGCGCTACAAGCCAGCACTTCCCGCTTGCTGGTGAAGGCAGGCTCACCTTGGCCTCTGTCTCCCAAGGGGATATCCTGCCTGGTATTCACAATGGGCTTTTCTTGTCCAGATGCCAGACGATGCCGCAGATCCTGCCCAGGATCCCAATAACCAAGGTGAGGATGAGTTTGAGGAAGCTGAGCTGGAGAGACCTGACTTTGAAGAGAAGGCGGGAGCTTTGGAGAAGTTCAAGGAGCCCAGCATGAAAGAAGAGTCTAAGGAGAAGCCACTGAAGGTGACCGACGTGAGGGCAACCAGCAGGGGCCAGGGAGAGATCCCTAGCTGTGAATGGGGGGAGGCAGAGAGCTTAAGGACCCAAAGGCAAATACGTTCCCAAATGGATCTGTAATCCCACTGCGGGGATGTGGCAGGCAGGAGAAACCCCTTTCTGAGAATCAGTGGGTTGGTCAGTACCAGAACTTGTTCTGGCCCTGTTCTCTCTGCTTGTTGAAGTCAACCCTAGCATTTGCAGCACCTGTGTGGCTGGAGAGACATCGAATGGGGGATGGCTCACTCCACAGCTGTTGCCGCAGAGGTGCTGTATCTTCTCAAGGGCTTGAGAGACCAGAGGCAGAGACAATAATATGGGCCTGTGCTCCAGGTCTGGTCAGAGCAGCCACTGCTGTTCCTGGATGGGTATACAGCAGGCTCATGGCAGCAGTGAGAACATGTGAGAAGTCTGCCTCCTCGTTTGCCTGCTCGCAGATGGAATCAATTTATTTTGCAAAGTGCTTTTTGCTGTCTAAAGCCAGACTCTGCATCAGGGAAATGTTAGCTTGTTTTGACAAGCAGATGAGTGTTGCTTGTTTTAAAAAGGAGTGTTTTATCTGTCAGGCTCTAAAATCATGATTAGCGAGGCTTTAAAAAAAAAAAAAGAAATCTAGGCCAATGAAATCAAACAAGAAAGAGATGCTGGCACCAACAGCGCAACACCTCCTTAAGATTAGTGAAAATGTGGAAAGAATTAGTGACATAAATACCTGACTGAGAGGGCTGTGCTGTGCTCCCTAAAGCTCTACCCTAAATAACTTCTAGATTCCCTGCAGCCCTGGGACTTGATGCAACAGCAGCGTGTGCAAGGGCCCTGGGACCTTCCTGCTGCAGGAGAGGCCTCTGTCCCCACAGTGGAAGGAGCTGGGCAGTTGCCAGCAGGTGGGAAGAGAGATGGGGTGGAGAAAGTACAAAATGGAGTGTGGGCTGCCTCGTTGTCTCTCTGCTGCCCCCCGATTCCCAATCTGTAGCCCAGTCTTCCAGAGCTGGGGCTCTAATGGAAGAGAGCTGTATCCCTGGCAGGGAATGGAAGCAGGTCGGGCCACTGTCAGCTGTGACTTTCTGTATTTTTCAGGATGCTGGCAGACCTGCCAAGCCCAGGGAAGACCCAATGGATGACTATCAAGAAGATCAGGACCAAGAAATTGTATGACACCAAGGTTCTTCCTCTTTCCCTCTCTGTTGTGATTGCTACAGGGGTGTGTTGGTAGCCAGGAGCTGAGTATAACTCAGCTTTTAGGAAACCAGATGTGGGCACTGGCTTCAGTTTTGTCTCTGCCTGCTCAGTGAGGTGGGTCTCTGGAACAAACCTGGAGCCCCCTTACCTCTGCTCCTGTTTCTTTTTCAGGTGTTCAGAGTACCCTTTATGCTCTGTCTCCCCTCCTCATTTCTTTCTGCATCAATCTGCAGCTGTTGAGCTGTGAGATGCTTACCAAACAGCAGCTGGGGTGAATTACAAGCTGTGCGGTTGCAGCTAGGCAAGATCAATAGGTGTTTCTCCAAGCATCACCCTGGGTTTATTCCTGTGGTGAGAAATTCACTGGGAGCCCTGTAGTCTGCTGCTGCACAGGTCCTACTGGGTCTATCCTGTGTCTGTGGAAGAGCTGGGGAGAACTACAGCTGTGCTTTGAGAAGGGTCATTGGGTTACAGCCAGCAAGTCGAATAAAAGTATGGGTGGCAGAAGAATGTGACATCTCATCCTGAGGCAGGTGTGGGAGGTGGTGTGTTGGTTGGGCCACAGTTGCCAGGAAGCAACTGCTCCTCTGTTTGGCTGAAAATGGGTATTATTGCTGTGTCTCAGAGCCCCAGGACTACTGTAGTCACTGCCAAGTTGGAGAAAGATTGGAGGCCACCAAGGATTGGGAGCATGAGTACTAGAGAGGATCACCCTGATGCCTTCTGGCTCGTGTAGATAGAAATGAAAGATCCTCTTCCAGTCTTGTTCATCCTCTCCTTGCCCTTTGTGAGTGGCTGCTGCTGGCTTTTTCTGCAGTTTCAACATGATTGCTGAGGAACTGAGGGGTTTGGGCTGCCTGCTGGGAATGAAGTGGGTGGGGAAGTAAGGGGTGGGCAGAGCAAAGCCGGTGTCGGGAGCTATCCTTGGAACCTGGCTCGTACACTGGATAGTTGGACCTCAAAGTGCGAATGGAGGCTGTGCTGGCTGCTGCACATCATGGGTGGGATTTGTTACACAGTTTTAAATGTGGTGGCTGTAGGATATCTTCTACTTGTGTAGCAGTGGCAACAGGCTGAGATGTTAAAATTGCATTGTAATGCCAGGATATTAAATGTGCTTAAAATGAACAGGCTGATCATAGCAACACAGGCTTCTTACCTCTGTGTCTTGGCTAAGTGGCTTGCCAATGACACCTACAGGTCCCTGGCAGAGACGGATTCTTCCCTGTTTTCCTGAGTTTCCCAAGCTGGGCTGGTATGGTAGAAGAGCTATACTCAGAAGCAGCATGGTGCGCTGCTAGTTAGGGTCTCCTGTTCCAGGTCTTGCTGATTTTTTTTCCTTCCTGGCTGTTCCCTCTGCACCCAGGAGGATCATGGAGGTGAGGTGGATGACAATGATGACCTGGAACTTGTCCAAGACCAGAAGGACCATGCAGGCATACAGGGAGCTGATGGCAAGAAGGATGACTACTACTGAAAGATGTTGAAGGAAAATGGAATACGCTAGGAATGAGGGGATGGGAACTCCTCCTTGGAACTGGCTCCTGTATTAAACACTGCCCAGAACAGACAAAGGCAGGAGGAGATAACTGTCTTTGCAGGCACTGAGCAGGGTGCTTGCAGATGTGCATTACATCTACGTGTGCAGGGCCATTGCTGCCTCTCTGGTCGATAGCATGGAAGTGCTCTCAGACTGTAGGAATGATTTTATCCTGCTGCTTCTCTTAGAAGCACTTTTTGATTTATTGTGTTCTTCACCCTCTTATTTTCCCTATCCCCTCCTAAGCTGGGGAGTTTTTCTTTTTTTTTCTTTTTTTTTTTTTACCCCCCTGAGCAGCAGAGGGGTGCCTGAACTGGTCCCTGGACTTACATGACTGATTGCTAATACAAAGGAATCTGTCTTCATAAAATATTTTGCTCAGTAGTGTTTCTTTAAATCAACCTGTGCTCCCATCAGGGTAAGGTGGAGAGGACGTTAGCCAGCTTTTTGTCTGGACTAATGCAAGGGTGATAGCTAACCATGAGCACCAACAGAAATGTGCCAGCCAGTGTAAGTGTGTGTATGTGTGTATGAATGACTGGATCCTCTTCCTGGTGCAGAGACCCTTCCCGGTGCTCGGAGTAGAACCCTGCAGAGTTCTCCTTTCCTTGGCTTTGAGCTGTGACTGTCCCGCTGGGCTTGGAGCCTCCCTATCTAATACTGTGCATCTTGTCTTGACGTTGCTGCTACACCCTGGGTTGCTGGAGATGTGGGCTGGCCTGAGCTAAGACGGGCTCTTCTGGGATGGCGCAAAGAAACAACCGCAGCCCTGCAGTAACCTCTGCAGGTCACCAGCTGCAGCGAATGAAGCACTTCATGGCACAGCTGCCAGTCCCTCTGATGGGATATTCTTTTTACTTTGTGTAGCATTTTGATGGTGTGGATGCCCCCAGTGGGACGTGAACAGAGTCTGGGAAGGGCAAAACTATCCGCTGATTGAAGTTTTCAAATGCAAGCAGCAGGATGGGAGCAGACATCCATTTCTGTTATGGGTGTGTTTGCTCAAACCTTACTGCTATTCCTGATGCAGCTGGAGCATCCCAGCAGGGCTGTCCCTACTCTGCCCTCCTCAGGCTATCGGCAGGATGTATCGCAGCATATCTGCCTCTCAGACCCATAACCTCCTCCCTCCCTCAGATTTTGGCACCTCCCTAGGTTGTTCAGGATTCCTAAGCAAGCCTGAAAGGCTTGCTAAGGATGAAATTTGGTGCACGGGAGGGAAAAAAGAAGAGTAAGGGTAAGGAAGAGTATTCATGATGGTAGATACGAAGAAATATTTGGAGCCCCACTAATGCAGGTTCCATCCTGTTCAGCTTCTTTCCAGTCTCCCAGCGTTTGGCAGGGAGCTAAGATAAATTTTGTTCCTTCTAGACAGGTCTGGTTTTTAATTGGCAAATTGGGTATGTCTAGTGTTCTTTTGATTCGGTAGATTGAAATCTGTGGTGCTTAGTCTCCAAAACACATCTTGCCTGACCTCGGATAGAAAGAAGGAAAGAGTCGACTGGAGTCCCTGGAATCTAAAATGGAGGCAGCTGAAAGGAGAATGGGCTTCATCATGATATCTCAAAGCCTGGCACCTTATCTCAGCTAAGTTAAAAGTCAAAGCGTCACCGTAGAGCTGTTGTCAGCAGCAGTTCAGCTGCAACCCACCGCTTCAGATGAGAAGAGCTTTCTCGGGCCTGGAAAGGAGCATTCAATCTTGCAGAGCTTCTCTCTATACTGCTTTTCTTTTTCTCCCAGCTTTCCCCTGGATTCGGGAGTGGTCCAGCTCCTATTTAAATTAAGCTATTTCATTTGAGAGCTTCAGCAAAACCCCAATTTATAAATACTTGTCTGATTTTTTCATTTTGTGTCACTCCCTAGAATAGCCTGCTTTAAGTGTAGAGGTACCCAGGTCTCAGCATGCACGCAGATCTCCAGAGAAGACAAATGCTGTTCTAGGGGCTTGATACGCATTGTACTGCTCGCTGCCTTTGTGGGCAGAATAAGCAAAGGTGCCAGAGGCAGAACAGCAGCCAGAGGCTGTTCCAGGGAGCCTAGGAAAAGGTCTATTAGCCAAGTGCCGTAGCTGCTCATGTAGCCCACTGAGGAGCTCGCTGCAAAACTATAAAGGGGTATAAGATACCCAAAATGACTTGAAATGGTTCATGCTGCCTTAGTGCTTTATATTACCAACCTTGCTGTATGATGCAATACGCCTCAGCCTGTGCTGTCTGCTATAAATAGCACATTCAGAATAGATCAGCTGGAGTTGCAGTTACAGGTCCAGCTGCATCCTGATCAAAAATGCCTCCAGTCCTCAGCCGGGCTAGTAAGATGTCACTGTTTCACAGATCAATGCAGGATCAATGAGCAACACAGCCCGTGGCACGAGCTTCAAACCTGCGTGCCCAAGCTGCCCCAGTGAGAGAGAGAGCACAGTTACCTGCTGAATTTCATTCACTTCTCTTCCGTGCTTCTCTTAGCCTGTGGCTGTCAGAGCACGTAGGTTCAGACCTTACTGGAAGTGAATCAAGTGCTGGAAATAGAACCCCAGTCGGGGTGAGGCTGCAGGAGCTATCTAAATTAGGAGGCAAATTCTCTGCTTTTGCATGTCTAGGATGAGTAATCCTCAAAGTTATGACTTGGAGGGAACTGTAGCAACTCAGCCCTAAATGTAAAGCTCCCTGCTAGGAGAATGCTTTAGCAACCATATGTGGCATGCTGCCCTTAGCTGAGAGCTAAGCATCTCTGCTCTCGGGATCGTCTGCCCCGGCTGTATCCAAGCCTAAAATTAGCCCAGTGTTGCACAAATTGTTAGCTGTGGGTGGTTAGTGCTTCCTTCTCTGGCCTATAGCAAGTTGCCCCCGTTTTAATACTAGTTCTCAGTTTCCTCTAACAGGAGATGAAACAGGAGACAGTAAACCCAGTGGAGAACGAGAAAAGCAGAAAACGTGGGGTGTTGGGTGGGTCTGAAGGCCTATAAAGCAATTCTGGGATGTTACTGATTTTTGATATGCTGCCTGGGGGCTCGCTGCTTAAAGCAAATAATAGTTTTTTGCCCGAGTGGCAAACTGTTGAAGCAATATACACGAGAAGTGCAGGCTGAGTTTTACTGCAGATTGGGGCGCAGAAGGAGGTCTTAAACAGCTGGATTACTAAGAGAGCAAACAATGAGACAAAGCATTCGTAACAAGCCAGTGCTGGCAGACTGACCAAGCCAAAGCATGTGTTTCTGCTTGTCTCTTGCATAAATAATTGTCTTTTGCTTTGAGACATAGTGCAAGGCAAAAGGTTGCAGTGCAAGATAAGGTGTAGTTAACCTGTAAGTGGTGTTACAAATTTTTTTGATGGGTTGTTCTTTATTTTCCTTTGGACTCCAGCAAGATGATGTAGATTAGATTTCTGTAAACAAATCTATTTCCAGGGTTCACATGATGATGAAGTATTAAGTGGTCTGGCCACATCTTTAGCCAGATTGTGAGAATTAATAGTACATTCTGTGCCCTTACAAATAAAGGCATGGATGAGGAGAACATAGGCCTATCTTAGTTAAATGAAATCTCTGTTTAATGAAGCCTACTTCTCCATAGCCCACTTCTTAGCTGGAAACCTGTTTAGGATTATTAGGCTCACTCATTTACATGGCATTTTTTTAGGGGTTAAAATGTGACAATCTAATAGGTGTTTAATGAGATGTTTTCTCTAAGACATCTGAAATAGTTGGAGAAAATTCCCTAAACCCTTGCATACTGCAGGTGTGAGCTGCCTGCATGTCCCCAAACCAAGAATGTCCCCTCATTCCTAATTATATGTATGACTTAAAAGTAAGAGTTGTTTCCAAGGATGACTATTGTTCATATTCTATATAGTTTGAGACTGGTTGTTGTAAAGCTTCAGGATTAATGTGAATCTAACCTAGACTGCCTATGCCTGCCAGGGAATGAACATTCTTCAGTGCTCATTCCTCCTTTGCACCTTGCAATAATGTACGTCTTTTCACCCCAACCCACATCTCTCAGTGCCATTTTACACTTGACCACCTCTGGAGCCAATTCTGCTGAACTCTGTGCTGCTTTAGTGTTAGAGAATATCAGTATACATGGAAAGGATGAGGTAGGTGTAAGTATCACTGCCAGAGGTCAGGGCGTTCTGTATGCTTACATTCATGTGCCTGAAGAAGATCTGGAAATCAAAGGAATAGGTGTTTATCCAGATGTCTTGTTACAAAGATGACTGTGGGTCTCCAGTACAAGGGTACACCTATAAGCCAAAAGGTCTGCGGATGACAGCAATGGCACAAGGATACTCAACAGCTTTCATGATTGTTTATGTCAGTTCACTGTTCTGTTCAACAACAAACCTGTTCCAGCCTGCCATCACAGAACCAGTAGTTCTGATCACATGTAAATGGCTAAATGGAAGTCAGTGCGCAGGTATACTACTGCCTTGCACGAGTCGGAGGCTCAGGACTTGAACCCAAAGAGACAAATATGGTTATCTATTCCAATTCCTGGTAATTTTGGCAGTTATTCTGGGAAAGACATTTGAGGAGGCTTCCACAGCTTTCCATGCAATGAAGTATCGCTTGTTTTTTTTCCCTCTTCTACAACTTTCAAATGCAAGTATGGAATTAAGGCCAGAAGAGCTAAGTGATGCGGCACATGCAATCAGATGTCTTCACTGCTGTGCCAACCATTTTCCTTTCCTGTACCAAATGCCAGACCCTTCTCTTGGATCTCTCAACAGAAGAACTCTGTGTGCGTTGCAAATCATAAGCAACATCAGGGGCTGGTGCCAAATCTCTTCCCTGATCACGGAGATAATGACAACTCTGGAGTGCAATCTGCTCTTAATAGTAGCTAGGAGAACTGCACAAAGTTTAAGGAGGCAAAACTTGCCTAGTTTGGCTCCAACCGTCTCCTGAACACCCCCACGTTTCTCAGGAAGGGCGCTGA